ATTGAGACACCCTGGGTTCTCCTTTGATTGAGACTCCCTGGGTTCTCCTTTGATTGAGACTCCCTGGGTTCTCCTTTGATTGAGACTCCCTGGGCACTCCTTTGATTGAGACTCCCTGGGCACTCCTTTGATTGAGACTCCCTGGGTACTCCTTTGATTGAGACTCCCTGGGTACTCCTTTGATTGAGACTCCCTGGGTACTCCTTTGATTGAGACTCCCTGGGTACTCCTTTGATTGAGACACCCTGGGTACTCCTTTGATTGAGACACCCTGGGTACTCCTTTGATTGAGACTCCCTGGGTACTCCTTTGATTGAGACACCCTGGGTACTCCTTTTTCTATATAAGAGCAGATTTTTTAAAATCTCACCTGTTTCTGAACGTTATTTGAAAATAACAAAAAAGCCACACCCTGTATTGCTTCACCTTCGCTACGAACCTCACCATTTACATCATAGCCATTGACAACAAGTTGGTCACCAAGGTTACCATTCTCCTTTGTCACTGTGTACTTAGCTGTTGACTGCAGAGGAACAAGCATCAAATCAATGTTATTAGCCACACACACTAGAACCTTATCCATTCAATTCATCTCAAAACAGCACTTCCAAGATCCCAGAAGGATGCATATCGGGCAACTCATAGTATGCAGAAAACCACATATAACAAAATAAGTTCAATTTGGGTGACATCTAAATCACAAATATTAAACTTTATGGATATGATTCTTAATTTGTTGTTATACATGTATACTCACAGTTTCAAATTTCCAAAGTGGGTGAGACGCTGTTACAATGTAATCACCGGGCATCACCTTACTGAATACATATCTAAAACAATTGAAAAGCAATGAACAATTTGTGAAATGACACACAATGGTCATACACTTGTCAACCATTGAGTAGCATGTAGGAGTTAATGGAGAAGACAACAAATACACTTTCAAACTAAACATTCTCAGTGGTATGCATATTTAAAATGCTAGTTTTCTCTAAATTTAAGCATGAAAGATTTTGGAACTTGCTGATATTTTGTGAATATATTGCTTATTGTCACAGAGCATTTTTTGAAGACTGATGTAAAATTATATTTAAAAAAACATCAGTGCCAAATAATTATACTTGAACATTGAGTTTCCTGGTGCCAATATGATGGAATTTTTAGATACATTCATGCAGATGTACCACACATTAATTGGATTGGTTTACACCTGGCTTGACCTATCAGGTCAAAGGATACAGTTTAAGGTCAACTTGTACATAAAACTAACATGGTGGATATCATTATGCACTCATTTTACCTGCATTTGTTGAAACCCCAAAAAATAATTGTTTATACTAATTTCTTTATTGAGATCATGACTGAGGAATAATCAATGACTGTTATTCACCTGTAAAACAACATGCCTGGAGACTGGCTGTAGATTATTTGCCACTGAAGCAATGCACTCATGTTTGTTTCATTTGAAACTTGTTTTGTTAATTTTCATATGAGAAGGCACTTACTTTCCACCAATATCAGTCAGGATTTCTTGAAGTACATCCATTGATGGTTTCTTTTTAAGTGATATTCTGACTCCGGCTGGCCCTTCTGACATTCCCTTGCTGATTACCTATACATGCAAAGAATAATATAAACACCTAACTATGTATGAAAAAATGTAAAAGAAAGTACGAAAATGGCTGCAGACCAGCAAAAATGGCTACAGGACAGTCAACAGTCATACAGATCAGGTACTCTATTGCTATGTTCACACGGCAGCATTCTATCGGAGCTGAACTACTTCTCCTCCCACGGATTAACAGGAGATTATCTCCAATGCGTTCATACAGTCGGGAGCCGAACGAGAGCCGAGATCTGCCAGAGTTCGATTCAGTCGAACGGAACAGTGCCCTGGAATAATTAGTGACTGAAAATGATTTTAGTGTTGTGCTTGTGTTTTTTATTTACATGGCATGATGCTGTTGAGCTAGGAGAAAAAAGAGCCTGAGCATGGAGGTAGAAAAGACAATGACTGGTATTATGATTTAGGTACTAGTATCTCGAATAAACAGGAAACACGGCAGCTAAAATGCGTTTAATACAACCTATTCGCTCAAGTTATTGTCATGCAAAATTACCATTTTGTAACTATTCAACTGTAGTGATATCTAAACTACTAGGAAGAATCACAGATTCTCTCTATCTATCATAGAGAAACTATTGAAGAATCTAAACCTACCTGGAACATGTCACCGTACCGCGATCGCTTCTACGATTTATATTTTTAGTGTCTTTAAAAAGTTTCCGTACAGTCGTTCTTTCAAGTTTTTGTCGCATAATTTCGTACGCCATTTTGTTTTTCCCGTTGAGCTATCAATCTATCGCAATAATTTGTTACTATATATCAAGACGCATACCTCTTATTCAAGCCTGAAATTGCGTGAAATTATGAAAGATGTTGTCTCCGCCATAATTGAGATGAGAGGTTACTCGAAGAAGACGATTGAGGACGTGATTTCGGCTCCGATAGTTGGGCCCCAATGCGTTTACACGATCGGAGCCATGTCAGGGCTCAACCCTATCGGAGTTCAACCCCAAAGGTTTAGTGGAGCCGAAATTGGCTCGAGCCGAACGCATTTACACTGCCATTTTTGCTAGCTCGAGCTGGCTCGAACCGTTGGGCTCCGATAAAATGCTGTCGTGTGAACATAGCATATAAAGACCTCAAGATCAGCTATAATAACCTCAGATCAGTTACAATGACCTTGGATAAGCTATAATGACCTCAGATAAGCTATATTGACCTCTGATAACCTATAATAACCTGGGATCAGCTATAATGGCCTTAGAGCAGTTATAACAACTTCACCTCATCTATGATAGCTGCATGTAAGCCAAGATGGCTACAGATGAAATCCAACTATGAGTAACTGGCCTCAGATAGGCCCAAATGCCCAGAAGTCAGTCAAAACAATATACCAAACTTTGCTGTATTAGAAGTGACTAAGGTCAAAATAAGTCAAATTTTAATGATCCAGTATAGGTGTAAAATATAAAACAATAATCTTATTATAGATAATACAATACTGATGAAGTAGTAGTGTTTTTTTAAATTAATAGTAGAGATGCAGGTTCGTGGGCATTCTGAGTGAATTTTTTTTTTCTTACCCAGACAGTCTTGGCTAGATTGTGTTCAAATTTCGGAGCTTTGTCTATGTTGGATCATACTCAAAAAAACATTTTCAAAATATAGGGAACCCAGGCACGCGTATGTGATTAAAAGTCCCGAAAGTTTGTTTGCGTTGCTCTTTGATTGACAAGTCACTGTTGATGTTATATGCAAATGAGTTGCTGGCCTCAGTTACGGAGAAGCGGTGTGTAACTTCCTGTCCTGGCGCGATCAACTAGCCTCGCAAACTACACACACAAAAAAACAGACAAGATGTAGATGCTTTCAGCATGCAAGCTGAATGAAAACATACAGTTGTAAATGATAAGTAAAGTTTTTCACCCTTATCTCGCAATATGTCAATAACTTCTCGTCTGGCAGCTTCTAGTGGTATACTGTTAAAAAATTCGATTTTTTATTTATTTTCATAAAGGAGGAAGGTCCGATAGCGCGATTTCATTTTTTGCATTGTGAGCGAAACTAAAAAATGTTTCCACATATTTTTCACTCTAAAGGCATTTTAACAGTGAAGTAAACATTTTTCATTGCGCTCTAATGATCACCGTGTCGTGCATTGCGATGCAATGGACAAACACCACTGCTGTTGCTGTCATCGATAACTAACTTTTCAAAATACACAAACGTAAAATTAGGCGAGGGTTCTGCGCCTATTCACATAGTTCATACCTACCATAGACTCCGGTCAGTCAAAATGACTATTTTTAACTGTAGGCATTAATCAGCGATTCTGCCGGTGACGGAGAGATAGAATCCAGGTCAGGGGAAGCCCCATGACCTCAAGCTTTTTTTACCCCTTACGTCACGAACCCACGTGACCGAGGCCACCTGCCAGCGCCACAGGTAGCCATCACATCCATCACTCTGGTTCCTTTCTCTCCGCCTCGAGGACTTGGACCAATGCGACGGAAAGAGTGGGGAGTCTGGGAGGGACCCGGA